ATCGATGCCCTCTTTACATTGATGAAGTCCTTTTATAAACTTCAAATTTGATCGTAAATTTGAAAAAACGCTAACTAAGAGATAAGATCGAATCTAGCAAGACAGGACCCCTACAAGATCTGTTTTCCTAAAAGACATAAAGTAAACTAATAATTTAAAAGATAATAATTTACAGACACCAATAATTGGCATGTGAGCCTTCACTGTATGGCTGACAAGTTGTCAATCTTTGTTTTGTCTCTGATAAAGTTGTCAAGATGTAGATAAGATTTTCTTCCGAATTTTTCATATGACTAAGCACCCAAGCTTGCCAACGGACTTACTGCGCTCCCCGCGTCTTACCACCTGGAACACAAGGGCTATTCGCTCAGCTGTCACATACTCCAAATTCTTCTGAATTTTCATATCTTCCTCCTGGTTTGCGTGACATCGCTCTTAAAGATCGAGTAACAACTCTTCCCTCACAAAAATTGAGAGGCTCTGATACCATACTAATGCTTAATGACTTGAGCCCTTACGATTTACATGAGCTCTATCATCCTAGCTTAATTAACATACATGAGGCCTTCAGCCTCTTCAACAAGGCCATCTGTCGTTACTCCATCAAGACCCACTGTCTCTTCCACTTCAAAGGAACCTTCTGTCCCCTCGACCTACTCGGACGCGGTTGTTCCCGTTAGTTTTTCTCCAGTTCCTGAAATCAAAACCTATTTTCAAAAATCTATGTCCATACCAGAAGTTCTGGTAGAACCAGAATACGACAACCCGAAAATCGGCGAAGTCATTAAAAAGGCCTATCCATCGGGATTCTTTTATATCCCAGAAGATCTTCATAAAACCAGAAGGTTTTATGAATTCATTCTAGTCGACACAAAATCCGTCGAAATTACTCATATTCCGAGTCGCGATGATCCTTCGAAAATCGCGTATTCAAAATTAAAAATTTTTAAAGTCATGAATCCGACGTATTGGAATCAAGATCCATACACGGAAAAGACATTCTCAAAACCTTTTGTTCCTCATTCTTACTCCTACAGAGACTATCAGATGGCATGGTTCAATGTCATTTGGTATCAAAATTACGAGCATTCATGGTTCATTCAATTCTGCCAGAACGCTCATAAAATTCATTACCCATTTTGGTTCATCAAATGGTGGAAAATCTTTGGATCAGCCAAAGATATATTTCCAGTTCCAATACAAGAATCGTTCCACTATTTCGTTCAAAATATATTCAAAATCCCCTTTCCATTGACCATGCGCTTTTGCGTATATTTTCAAATTCCTTGGATTTTAACTTGGAATTTTCAAATTAAAGAGACCGAAGACCAAATAAAACAGGTCTTCAAAACTATCAAAATCAAATGGTGGGATAAATATACTTATACCCACGCAGACATCAAAGCGGTAAAGGTCTGGCTATATGAGAATGGCCACCTTCAGGATTTATCCAAGAAGAAGATCTCCGAATTCCTTAATTCAAAGTCGAGGCTACTCGCCACTTTAGCCCAGACAACTTCGGAAGTTGATTTTCAAAAGCTTCTTCAAGAAGCCGCATCAGTCGGTTCGACGTCTTCTCCTTCTATTATAGAAGAAGAAGATGAAGACACGATCTATGATCTCAATGATCCATTTTTGGATTCACAACCACCTTTGTAGATATCATCATCTCAATGACTGAATAGTCGTTAAACTAATTGTATAAAAAAAAAAAAAAAAAAAAAAAAAATTCAAATCCGTGACATATTCCATTCATTTTTCCTTCTTTTGGCACCTTTACTTTTTGGTTTTTCTCATTATTAATGTACTTTTTCTTATTTCATCATTTCATAAAGGAATTGATGAAATATTAACGTAGGAAAGAATGGAAATACACATGTTTGTGTATTTATGTATAAAACATGTACGTTAATTAAGCTAGGATGATAGAGCTCATGTAAATCGTAAGGGCTCAAGTCATTAAGCATTAGTATGTTATCAGAGCCTCTCAATTTTTGTGAGGGAAGAGGAGTTACTCGATCTTTAAGAGCGATGTCACGCAAACCAGGAGGAAGATATGTATGTTGATTTTGCATAAATCGATCTTAATTGTACATTTAATTGAGTTATATGGTAAAATTTCAGACATTTATGCTGAACCATGAGGGAGTAGCAAATCTAGAAATAAATGGGGGATGACATGAAAATTTTAAATCCACATCAGCAGTCAAAGTGGGTCATTGATTTCCCAATGAGGAACATCCTATGTGGACAACTTACTCCTTTTTAGCCCTAAAGGGGAACTCATGCTCAATATAAAAGGAAAAGGAAGACCAGGAGGAGGGAGCCACACTTTGGGGAGAAAAAATCGAATTACATAGCAGCAGGCTCTGCTGCAATGAACTGCTGTGAAACCAGAGAAGAAGAAGAAAACCCTAATCTAGTAGCTGTTGATAGCAAAAGGAAAAGGAGACCAACAAGGATTGATTAGGGCAAAGAGGTGTATGTGAGAGCTCAAGAGAAGGGAACTTCCATTGACGAACGGCAACAAACCGGGATAAGTTTCTATTTCCTTATTCTCTTTTCTTATTCCATCAATTTTACATGATGAAGATGTGGATTCCTCTGTTTAATTCAGTTTGTATGGAGAGCTAAACTTAATAGGGGAGACGAGAGAGTTTTATATAGTTTAAGTATGTTGACGGTATGATTTTAGTTTATTAAAGAGTTGTTGTTAATGATTTACATGTATGTTTAATTAGCTACTTTACATGCATAGTTGTTCTCTTATTCTGGAGAAGAGAGAGCAACGAAATCCTTTTTAATACTCTAGTTCCATAGCAAGGAGACTTGAAGGGTAATAGAAGGGTTAGAAATAATTCTTCCCCTAGAGCCTTGTTAATAGAAATTACAATGATTATGAAAATAATCACCATTCATGACCCTCGGGAGTGGGCTTGAGAATCTATTAAAAGTAACTAAAATCTACCACAAAACTCAACAACTTATCTATTTAATCTCTCTTAGCCAAACCTTCCTCATTATAGTTGATTTTCTTATCATTTTCTGTTTTTCGACAGCAGTGACACTCTGTTTTAGTTTTGTTTAAATAGTTAAAATCTCCATCACCCATTTGAATGTTACCCAAAAAATCACTTAATTTCCCGCCATAAAATTAACCAAAAAGATAGGTTCCCTATGGAATCGATAATTTACTTATTACTTGCTACTTGTGATAATGTATACTTGCACTTATTCTTGTGAATTTTACATCATTTTATTATATACATCCACAAGCGATCAAGTTTTTGGCGCCGTTGCCGGGAAACCTAATTTGGTTGTTTTACTTACAGTAGAGTTTCGTGAGCGGGAGCCAACAAGAATCCATAGTAAGCTGAGTTTTCTACTACTGTTTTTACTGCTGAAGAATTGAATTTACTGCTGCAGAATTCTGTGTATGAACCCACCTACGAGTTTGGAATTTATTTTGGATCCTGAAATAGAGAGAACATTTAGACGAAGGTTGAAGGAGAAAAAGAAAATGACAGAATAGAATATATAACAGGTAGAACTTGGAGCCCAGTTGAAATCGGGAGTTTGAAAATCCAGCGATGATGGCTAATCAAGAGAGAATTACTGCCAATGTCATTCCTTGAGAGCAATCCGAGCATATGCACACCCAACTATGGAAGAGCTAAATCTGTGCATCATTAGACCCGAAATGCAAGCGACCACGTTTGAGCTAAAATATGTGATGTTTCAAATGTTGCAAACCATTGGGCAAGTTCATGGACTACCATCAGAAGATCCTCACCTACACCTAAAGTCATTTTTGGGAGTTAGTGACTCATTTCGATTCCAAGGAGTGGATAAAGACGTGATTAGGCTGAGCTTATTCCCATATTCATTGAGGGATGGTGCTAAATCATGGTTGAATACCTTAGCACCGGGAACAATTGATTCTTGGAATAGTCTAGCAAAGAAATTTTTGATCAAGTATTTCCCACCCACTAGGAACGCCCAGTTTAGCAATGAGATTGTTGCTTTTCAACAGGTTGAAGATGAGACACTAAGTGAAACTTGAGAGAGATTTAAGGAGATGCTTAGAAAGTGTCCTCACCATGGACTACCTCATTGTATACAAATGGAGACTTTCTACAATGGATTAAATACAGCTACTAAACAAGTAGTTGATGCTTCCGCCAATGGAGCTATTTTGTCAAAGACATACCAGAAGCATATGAGATTTTAGAAAGAATAGCATCTAACAATTGTCAGTGATCCGATGTGAGAAGCAACCTAGGAAAGAAGACTCGAGGAGTACTTGAAGTTGATGCTTTGTCCTCTATCAATGCTCAACTAGCTTCGGTGACTAATATTTTACAAAATCTAGCGTTGGGGCAAGACTCCATGATCAAAGCACCAGTCTATACAACTGCTGTAATTAACCAGACAGCAACCGAATCTTGTGTATATTGTGGAGAGGAACACACCTTTGATCAGTGTCCAAGCAATCCGACTTCAATTTTTTATGTCGGGAATCAAGCTAGTCAAGACAACCCGAAAAATAATCCCTTCTCAAAACTTATAATCCGGGGTGGAGAAATCATCCAAACTTCTCATGGAAGGGACAAGACTCATACAACCAATACAACCTAAGGCAAATTACCCTCCGGGTTTTGGATTACAAAATCAATTGGCTTATAGTTCTCAACAAGTCAACACCCAAGGGAAAGGAACTAGCCAAGCTCAATACACATCAGGAACATCTAATGAGAGCCTAATAAAGGAATATATGGCTAAAAATGATGCCGTGATACAAAGTCAACAAGCCTCATTGCGAAATTTAGAAGTTCAAGTAGGTCAATTAGCAACTGAGTTACGAAATAAGCCTCTTGGGAAGCTGTCAGCAGACACCGAAACACCAAAAAGAGAAGGCAAAGAGCAATGTCAAGCAATAGAGTTGAGAAGTGGAAAAAAAAAAATACCCAGCAGGGGAGAAAAAAGTGCAGAACAAGGTGATGGCCATTCCCAAGAAACTGCTGATACACAGTAGAGAAATGAGGAAGTTGCTGTACAGAAAGAACACAGCAAGGATTATGCAGAAATTGAGAAGTAGCCTAAAATGCAAACAACAGCCAGCAGTGGACAAGAGAGCAGAACATACACATCATCACCTCCTTTTCCATCGAATAAAAAGAAAGAAAGAGGAAACCCATTTTGAGAAGTTTATAGATATTTTGAAGGAAATTCATATAAACATACCACTAGTGGAAGCTTTGAAGCAAATGCCAAATTATGTGAAGTTCTTAAAGGATGTACTCACTAATAGAAGGAAGTTTGAAGAATTTAAGGTGGTGTCATTAAATGAAGAGCGTAATGCAATATTGAAGAACAAGATCCCACTAAAGGAGAAAGATCCTGGATCGTCCACTATTCCAGTATCAATTGGAGGAAAGGAGCTAGGAAGAGCATTATGTGACTTGGCAGCAAGTATCAACTTAATGCCTCTATCTATTTACAAGAAGTTAGGGATTGGAGAGGCTAGACCGACTATAGTCACCTTTCAACTAGTCGATAGGTCCATCACTTATCCCGAAGGAAAGATTGAGGACATCTTAATTCAAGTCAACAAATTCATATTTCCTGCAGATTTTATCATTTTAGATTATGAAGCCGATCATGATGTACCAATTATTTTGGGGAGGCCATTTTTAAAGACCGGAAGAACATTAGTAGATGTCTACAAAGGAACCATCACGTTAAGAATGGGTAACCAAAAAGTTGAATTTATTATCAATGACAGCATGAAATATCCAGCAGCGACAGAAGAATGCTCAGCAATATATAAATTGACAGAACAACTAGCGACCGAGGAATGGGATGATGGGAAAAGCGAGCAGGAAGAAGACAGCAGCTAAAATGACAGAATAGAACAGTTAGCCGTTTTAGGTGAGTTCAACCGAACTTTTGAGTCACTAGAATGTGAGGGAAGAAAGAGTTCACCGATGAGACCATCCATTGAGGAAGCGCGGCAGCTGAACTTGAAACCACTACCTCTTAACCTTAAATATGCTTATTTAGATGACAAGAAGACACTATCCATGATCATCTTAACGATACTATCCTCAGCTCAAGAGGATATGCTCCTAGAAACATTGAAGAAGCCCTTCACTATGCATGCACAAAATACAATTGGAGGAAGGAAAAGTTAAGTCCATTGAGCAACAAAGACGATTAAATCCCATGACGAAGGAGGTCGTTAGAAAGAAGATTCTCAAATGGCTAGATCCGGGAATAATTTATCCAATTGCAAACAGCAGCTGGGTCAATCCTGTTCAATGTGTTCCGAAGAAAGGAGGGATAATAGTAATAGCAAATGAGAATAATGAGTTGATCCCCACTAGAATAGTGAATGGATGGAGAATTTGCATGGATTATATAGAAGGCTAAACAAAGCGACACGTAAGGATCATTTTCCCTTACCATTCATTGATCAAATGCTTGATAGGCTTGCTGGAAAGTCACATTATTGCTTCTTGGATGGTTATGCGGGATACAATCAAATTACAATCAGTCCAGAAGATTAAGAGAAAACTACATTCACATGCCCGTATGGAATTTTTGCCTTTAGACGGATGCCCTTTGGACTATGTAATGCTCCAGCAACATTTCAACGTTGCATGATGGCCATTTTTATAAATATGGTAGAAACATTTATGGATATATTCATGGATGATATTTTGGTTTATGGAGAATCTTTTAAGACTTGTTTGTGCAACTTGGGGAAGGTTCTACAAAGATGTGAAGAGAAGAATCTTGTACTGAATTGGGAAAAATGTCATTTTATGGTCAATGAGGGAATAGTGCTAGGCCACAAGATCTCAAGAAGAGGAATAGAAGTTGATAGAGCCAAGATAGAAGCTATCGAAAGATTGAATCCACCTACATCAATTAAAGGTATTAGAAGCTTTTTGGGCCATGCAGGGTTTTATAGGAGGTTTATTAAAGATTTCTCCATGATTGAAAAACTGTTGTGTAGTTTGTTGGAGTCAAATAGAAAATTCGTTTATGAAAAACAATGCATGACTGCCTTCCAAGCATTAAAGACAGCGCTAACCACAACTCCTATAATGTCAACACTGTTGGGTTTTATGTCCTAAAACTCATAGTTGGTAAACAAAAAACATATTCTATTTTCAATAAAGTTATTATTATTGTTTATTCAGTAAAAATTGTTATTGAATAAAGTAAACTGTACGATCATTAATCTAAATCCAATAAACTAAGAACACTCTAGCTATAGTATGATTACTTGAACTATATGTAGAGACATATGAGTGGATCAAGTTCAAGTATATAGTCAAAATGATCTATAGTATAAGGATAAGGCTGAGTACCTTATTCTGAGGACACTATGGATGTGACCCACTTTTGTATATGATATAAACAATGTGATCACTAAATTGTACATGTGGAGACATGTGAGTGGGGGCGTCCTATGCAATGAGTATTGCATAAGATCGGACCATGAAGAAAACCACTCTCACTTTATAATGTCGTTTACTGTTGAGACTGATTTTCTTTTCATTCGATAACCTAGGTAACTCGGTTTTAATCCTGAGCTAACCATGAACTCCTGTTTATTCAGAATTATCCTTAGATTTGCATGGGTGAGAGTGGTTCTAGTTCACCGACTCAATAGGCCTCCCATTTCAGGGGTAAGACTAGGTGAATGGCTGGGGATGTGGGGTGCAAGACGGAATTCACTCCTGCCCGCTTTTAGGGATAGAAGAAAGGTAGTTCCCTTAAGCACTGACTCCAGGTCTTGAACAAGGGGCCCCACCCTCTCATTGGCCTGAGAGGGATTCGGTTTACTAGTTGGACCACAAACCAATTGTTCATTAGAGAATGAGTGAGACATAAGGAACAAGAAGTAACTTCAGGGGTAAAACGGTAAATTGATCCAGCTCTAGTTACGAACAACCTGTGAAGGATCAATTTACTAATCATGGTTATATCAGATGGACAGAAATATATCTATAGTGAGGGGAGTGCAACTACTAGGCTATAGTGGAGTGTTCTAGTAGTTAACGAATGTTGGTTAACCAGGTTAATGAGTTTAACCGGTTAATCTTGGATCGTTGGAGCCCATGATCTATAGGTCCATTAGGTTCCTCTACTAGCTCATATCGGACTAAACCATAGAACAGTGTGACGAGTGAGTTCGAAGTGTTCGAATTCAAATTAGGGAATATGTGTTACATATATACGATATATTTAACCGCAATTTTGTTTTATTTACGAATTAAACAAAAAGAGAGAATCTGAGATATTTAAATAAGATTTAAATATCTTAATCAATTATGTGTCGAAATTGATTGAGATTGACATTTGAATCAATATTAAATATTAATTAAATAGTTTAATTAATCATTTAATGTTACTTTAATTTGAAATTCATTATTCAAATTAATTGTTGAATTAAAATGAAGAAAGTCAAAATGTTGACTAATGGAAAAATCCATGTTAGTGGAATTTTGAGGTGTCAAAATTTGATTTAACCAAACTTGCATGTTTGCCAAATAAACCCCACAAGTTTGAGTGAAATTTTAAGTGTCAAAATTTGGTTAACTCAAACATGCATGCTTGCCACATAATCCCAAACATTTGAGTAGAATTTTAAGTGTCAAAATTTGGTGATCTCAAATTTGCATGAACATGCAAACATGACTCTTTAAATAGAGTGATCATGATACATGGGAGGTCTTCTTTATCTTGGTGAAAAACCTTGAGAAAAACCTCTCACAAACACTCTCTTCACATATACAAAATCCCTCCCAAGTTTAGTCACTCACCGGATTCCACAATCCCGTTCTAAGGCCGGAGGATAGTGGAGAAGACACTAGTGGTGGTTTGAAACCGGTTCGTGAGGCAAAAGGAGTTTGAACTACAAAAGGTTAGTATTTAAACTCATTAAGTTTTAATACTTATGAACATGCTAGTTATTTACAATAATTGATGTTCTAAAAGTGCCTAAGATCCAAATTGCTTCCGCATGTGTTATATTAACACCATCAAACACCCAATTGAAATTCACCATTTGAGTTGATGTGTGATACTAGTGGCCATGTTGTGGGGGCAATGTTAGGGCAGAAAAAGGGAAAGGTACTTCATCCTATCTATTATGCCACCAAAACGTTGAATGAGGCTCAAGTGAAGTATACAACCACTGAAAAAGAATTGTTAGCTGTAGTATTCGTTGTTGAAAAGTTCAGAGCTTATTTATTTGCAGCGAAGGTGAAAGTGCACACTGACCACGCAGCAATCAAGCACCTAATGATGAAACCGAATGCCAAGCCAAGATTAATTAGATGGATTCTACTGTTGCAAGAGTTTGAGATAGAAATCGTGGACACGAAAGGAGCTAATAACCACGTAGCGGATCACTTATCTAGAATGGAGAACATGGAAGAAAAGGTCAATAGCAAAGAAATTGATGATGCATTTTCGGATGAATAGCTGCTTGGGATAAACAGCAGTAGTAGTGGCAGTAGTAGTAGAATGACAGCAACTCCATGGTATGCAGACATAGCAAATTTTTTGGCTTATGACATCATACCCAAAGAGAAAAATTATCAACAAAGGAAGAGGTTTTTCCACGAATCCAAAAGTTACATTTGGGATGACCCTTTTCTTTTTAAACAATGTAGAGACGGCATAATAAGGAGATGCATTCCAGACAACGAAATACCAACAATTCTTGAACAATGTCATGCATCTCCATATGGAGGTCATTTTGGAGGGCAAAGGACAGCAACCAAGGTATTTCAAGCGAGTTTCTATTGGCCAACAATTTTCAAAGATGCAAAAGAATTTTGTAAGAGTTGTGATCAATGTCAAAGGACGGGAAATATCAGTAAAAAAAATGAGCTACCCTTGAATTCAATTTTAGAAGTGGAACTTTTTGATGTATAGCGCATTGACTTTATGGGACCATTTCGGCCATCTTATGGGAACTTATATATTCTGGTGGCTGTCGACTATGTGTCCAAGTGGGTGGAAGCAATAGCTTGTCCATCCAACGATAGGAAGACCGTACTCAAGTTTTTAAAAAGAAACATATTCACTAGGTTTGGTGTACCAAGGGCATTAATCAGCGATGAGGGGACGCACTTTGTGAACAGATTGATGAATAGTCTTTTAGAGAGATACAATGTAAAACATAGAGTGGCGACACCTTATCACCCACAAACCAATGGGCAAGCAGAGGTCTCCAACAGAGAAATTAAAAGTATTTTGGAAAAGGTGGTACAACCCAACAGGAAAGATTGGTCGGTGAAACTTGATGATGCATTGTGGGCATACAAGATAGCCTTCAAAATCCCTTTAGGAATGTCTCTGTACAAGCTAGTTTTTGGGAAGGCATGTCATCTACCTTTGGAATTGGAACATAATGCATTTTGGGCATTAAAGAAGTTAAATTTTGACTATGCAACAGATGGAGACTTGAGGCGAATGCAACTGAATGAATTGGAAGAATTCAGGCACCTAACTTACGAAAATGCTAAGATGTACAAAGAAAAAACAAAAATGTGGCATGACAACAAAATTAGGCCCAAGGAATTCTAGGAAGGACAAAAAGTGTTGCTATTCAACTCAAGGCTAAAATTATTCCTTGGAAAATTAAAATCAAGATGGTCTAGTCCATTTATAATTGAAAAGTCACTCCCTATGGGGCCATAATGATAAAACATGGAGACAAAAGGAGATCTTTCACCGTGAATGGATAGAGACTGAAACCATATTTGGGTGGAGAAGTAAAAAAAGGCAATGCCTCTTTAAGCTTAAAAAGCTGAAAAATAAAACATTTCGTGGCAAAAGGGAGTTGACAAGGAACGGTAACAAGTAACAAACTCCC